CATTGTCGGTGTACACTATACCAACAATATCAGAAGTCTTCAGAAAATGTTTGAAAGCCTTAACAATAGAATCGGCAGTCTTGTTTTCAGAAGGGTAAACACATCTGTATTGAGTATAAATATCTTTGATCACCAACATTGACGTTTGGCCTTCTATGCCTTCTTCAATATCTTTGGGAATAACATGGTCGCACACTATGTGGTCGCCAAACCCACGCGCCAAAACATGTTGTGATCCGCCTACGCTTCTACCGTAGGGAGCAAGCATTTTAGCTTCGCTACAAACATCGCAGTAGGGATTCTTTGGTCGATGTGTGAATTGATGCGCCCCTGATTTTGCTTCCTTTCGAAGTTGCTCTTCGGTCTTCTCCCCTGCTACGGGAACGTCTTCAAAATCAAAAGGAACCTCAACTTCTGGGTCACTGTCCTCTTCGTCCTCCTGTCCATCATCGGCATTGGCATCTACGCCAGCTTCGTCAGCCTCCTCTTGGTCTTCCTCGGGTTCAGACTCATGGCTGGCCATGGCGTAGCCCTGGTCGATGGTGAACTGGTGGATGGAATCGAGTACCTTAGTAAGGCGAGTCCTCAGTGATTCAGGAATTGAGAATGGGGTACATGTTTCATCAATATATGGAACCCTACCTTGCAATTTGAATTTAACGCATTGTCCATCAGGTCGAAGAAATATGGGAGTAGTGTCCTTTCCCCAAACAAAATCATATCCCTGTTCTAAGCACCTCAAACCAATTGAAAGTGCAGAGGGAGTACTTTGGAGAATGTAGGGGTTGAAGGATTCACATAACCCTGGCAAGATCACCTCTACTACTTCGTCAGCAGTGATAGGTCCATTGGCAGTAGTGAGGGAGATTGGTTCGTTGGATTTGAAGATCTTGGTGGCCCTGTTGACTGTCTTAGAGTCCTTGCCTACGATGTCCTGGTCAGTGCCAGTGTCACCGAGCCACTTCTCCATACCAACCATATTTGGCATCGCTGTTAAGCGAGCGCATGACGGCACCTGTTCTCCGACAACCGTTCTGCACTTTGTGCAGCACAAATCATCGGGGCCTTCTGGGGAATGCTCACAAAGGAAATCACACGCAGGCTCCTCGGTATCCATCGAAACGAGCATCTGCCTAAGTGACTCCGCTGCCAAAATGGCGTCCTTAGTGTCACACTCGCGGGACTTTGGGCATTCCTCAGTGGTCCGGAACAGGTTCCGCTTCTTGCTCTTATTCACTACATGCCGGTACATTTCCTTCCAAACAGGAAAGGTGTGTACCTCCGGTTCTAATTCAAAACGAATTCTCTTCTCTTGCACAACACGGAAAATTGACTTTCCAGTCCAATCAAATTTCTGTTTCGCGTTTGGGTGTTTCTTCCAATTACCCTTGATTGTCCTACTCTTTCCCTTTGAGTCAGTGACTACCATGGTAAACTGGTCTTCCAACCTAGATGACTCAACTGGACAGGATTTACGTGTTGGGAGAAACGACCTGTGCCTAGGCTTCAAATGGTGCCTAATCAACTCATTGCCATCTTTGGAGAATTCCCAGTAGTCTTTACTCTTTTGGGTCCGAGTTGCGGTTACTGCTAAGCAAGACATTGCGAAACCTGTTTGAATACATGGACTGGCCTTTGGACTTTTGTCCTTCTTTTCCCGTTTGCTCTTTTTGTCCTTTTTGTCCTTCTTGGATTTCTTGTCCTTAGACCTTTTAGCTGCGGGCGAGGGACTCCTTCTGCGCGGGGCTGGTGTTGCGGTGTCTCCGTGTTTAAACGGGCATTTGTCACCCCTTTTGCAGTTACCCTTTGCAAAGAACCTGCATGGCTTGTCAGATTTCCTCCCTCTACTTGAGCTTCTTGATGAGTTCCTTGAACTGGAGCGGGAAGTGTGTCTTGACGAACTTCGAGATCGGCTTGACCTGAACGATGAACGGCTGCTCGGACTTGCGCTACGCGAACGAGACGACTCCCGACTAAGGGAGCGGGGACGGGCGCTAGAGTCGTGTGAGTACTTGCATTTGCTCCCGTACTTACACTTACCAGTTTTGGCATACTCATAGCATTGATTGCTTCCGTCACCCTTTGTGCTTCGTTTGCCATAACTTGGGCTTCGCGTGCGCTTGTCGTGCGGTGCCGGGTTTGCGAACTTTGCCGCGTGTGATTGTGATATCTTTTCGCGATTGGTCCTGAGCCTTTCCCTGTCAAGGTAACGTCGAACAGAATTGATAAGAAATTCATAGCTTCTGTCGTTACTTCCCTCCGGCGCTCGTTCATAAACATCAAGGTCAAATCTTAGCTTGCGGGACTTCCTAACCTCTCTATAAAACAGATCCTTGAGAGTTGCCGGGTCTGGGACATGACTCATTCCGGTCAGAACACTCTCCCATTTTCTTAGAAAGGATTTCAAGTCGTCGCTATCAAGCGAGATCTTGAGGAGGTCCTCAGTGCCATACAGTGCACCCGCTTCTTCACTGGTCTTGAAGTGGACTTCAAACATGAGCAACACCTGACGACCACGGACGATCCTACCTTGCTGTGCCTCAGATTCCTTATAATTAAGGATCTGCTGAGACAGTTCACCTTTGGCAACCTTAGTTAAAGCAGCAAGTAGTTTCGTGTCTAAGGTCCGAAACTTGCCTGGGTCAGCCAATTCGGAACAAAGCTTGGCTTTGTCTTCACGAACGGCGTACACCTCAAGCACCCATGCGAACGCAGCGTCTGGGTCATCGGACGCGGACCGTATCGCTTCGCGAACCGCGGCCCTCCAAGTGCGGTACCTGTCAGGACTTGGGAATTCAGGGAGATCTATCTTGTCAGCCTCCTTTGCCTTGGGCTTATCGGAGTCTTTGCTTTTAGCGCCCTTAAACCCTTCTAGCAAGGCCTTCTTGATGATTTCCCCCAAATCTTGGTCTTGTGGAGTTCTTACCTGAGAAGCCGGCCCTTCTTCTCTGCGATCATCCTTAGTCTTTGTTGCTTCCTGATTAAAGGAGCTTTTGTACAAAGGATCATCACTGAAGTTGTATTGTGTTGACTTCTTCATGTACTCCATCCACGGATCCGGTTGTTTGAATTGTTGCCTGTCTGTAGAGGCCGTTGCCTGTTCCGCTGCGGGCGCCCCTGTCCCTGAGAACATTGATGGGAATCCTGTGTTGCGCACGGACGCTGTTGCATCCATAGCTGTCTTTATAGGAGATCCACCTTTATCAAGGGGCTTACCGTCTAAGGTTGCTGGAACAGTGCCTTCCGTGCGTAGAGGTTCAAAAGATTGCGGTTGACCAATTGGGTGAGCATCTTGTCGAGCAGGAGGTGTGAATGGCTCAGGGTATTGCGGCCCTGGCTTAACGGGGCTAGAGGATTGCGCTTTGCGCTCCGCTTCCTTGCGTTCCTCTTCCCTGTCTGTCAAGGACTGTACGACACGCCTGAGCTCATCCATTTCACCCTTCAACATTGCATTGTCCTTGCGAAGCTCAACTATAGTTTGCTCTTGTGTTTCCCGATCAACTCTATGTTGCTTATTTGTAGCCTCCATTTCATTAACAAGGGTTTTGATCTTTGCCTGTGCAATTGCCAACGAACTGTCCAGTTGTTCTCGCTTGAAGTCAAGTTCTATAGCGATCCGGGATTCTTCAGCAGACGAATGTCTTGCCTGATCCTTTGCCTCTACGGCCGCCTTCAGCTTGGACTCCTGTTGCTCAACATACTGGCGATGTTCAGTTCTCATTCTGTCAACAAAAGCATTGCCTTCTTCTGCCAAGGCATTCTTTTCCTGTACAACCTTTTCATGAGCTGCTGTTGCCTGAGCTAGCCGCTGTTGAAAATGTTCCCTTTGCTCCTCCAATGTACCTTGCAACCGTTTGATTGCAACATTGTCGTGCTGTTGAACCATTTGCTGAACACTTTGTTCTTGCTGTTGGGCCCTTTGTTGAACATTCAACATTGCCTGCTCTGCGGCAGCCTTTGTTGCCGCTATAGATTCGGAAGCTTCTCTTTCGTAAATACTCCTGAAGCGCAATGCCTCGATTTCAGCTTCCCTCCTGGCTTGTTCGCTGAGCAAAAACTCATGTTGCTGTAACTCCCGTCGTAGTTCTTCGTCGTTTGGCGTTGCATTCAGGTTGACGACGTTGAGCCGAGTCATTGCCAACAAGTTGTTTACTGTTGGCGCACCAGCTACGGTGGCTGACGGCATACCTGCTAGGGTAGCTTGTGTCGCCTCTTGAAGAGTAACACTACCACCACTATTTAGCATCTCTTGGTACACCTCCGAAGCAACCCTTGGATCCATTGCAGCCACTTGTGCAACTGCCTGTTCATGCCGTTGAACTGCATCCAAACTATTGGGCACACTCGGAACTATGTCAAAGCCACTTCCATAGGCATTCGGTGGGACGTCGTCATCCATTGGGTCCATAGCTCTAATCTAGCTAGCCTACGGCTGATAACCTGTATTTTACAGGATCAGCTCTAATAGTACTAACTACCTAGCTAACCCTGCTAGCCCGGTAAGCGCTACCTTTTGCTCTACCTTGAGCCAACGCTACGGGGTCCATGGGGATGAGGTGAATTTCAACATATATATATATATAAATGGTCATCTTTTCTATACATTGTCCAAAAAGTAGTGATCGAAAAGCGATGGTACAAGTGAGACTCCGCCCTGGCTGGGTGGTCTTCATTTTCTGCCATGGGCCAGAAACTGTGGTGCAAAGACCTGCCAAGACCTGCCAAAATGTTGGGGCGCAACTGATTCCGAATGTGTGGGTGTTAAAAGGAACTCGGAACTGACAGCCCCAGTTCGCCAAGGGAGTTCCGGCGTGACTGGGAGCTTGCCCACTGGGCCAAGTCGATAAAACAACCCTTCCATGTGGTCCACCTTCTTGCATCATTGCGGACGGAATGCTGACCAATCCTGACTTGCAGGACACTGGGGTGATCTACACCCAACGATACCCGCACACGCACACACGCACACGTCTGTGCGCCCACAGCGTCGGGCTTCTTTCCTGAGCAAACTTGCGAATGTCTTCTTCATCAAGCCCGCCTTGGATTTGCTTCAGAAGTCCTGGAAAAAATCTATAGAAAAGGAGACCCCCTGTTAAATGGTCCAACTTCTAGATGTCCATAGATGTTTGATCAAAAAAAGTCCTTCTAAATGTCCAATTTCTCAGAAAAGGAGACCCCCCAAAGAACAGATTCAAGCCCGTATTTCCCTTCAACAATGATTGTACCCATAATTCATGGATGACCATGAGATCTGAATACCAAACAGGTGGTGCCATCCACTTCCATGATCATTTCAGGGAGTGTAAACTCATGGGATATGCCAGTCCAGGGCACTGTTCAAGACTCGGAAGGACTGGAACTGCTCCTGCCAGGTTCGCGGTTCGCGCGAACCGCGCGCTTCGCGCTTCGCGGTGCAGCCGAGTTCTTAGACAAACCATGAACTTGTGGATAGTCCCAAAAACAATTTATAATGTAATTATCAACCTGCAAGTTAATGGATCATGTCCAACTTCCTGGTTCTTCAATTTGACCGAGACTTAGGGGTCTGATAGCCCGGTCGGAACTGGCCAATTGGCTTTGCAGGGAGGAGGACCGCTTTCGTCTAGAAAGTCCTCGTCTTTGCGAAGTTTGCTTGGCACTTCTTGAGGTAAAAGAATAACATGTTTTGCAGCATGGCTGCATCAGGATGGATGTACTTCTGTGTGCGTCGAGTTGGATAGATAATAGGCGCCTCCTCTATCTCCAATTAAAAATGGTTTGGGTTTCGCGCCACTCCTGGTGTTCATTGCAATGGATCTGTTTCCATTTCTCCACTTCCTTCCACTTTCACCTCCACGACCCACTGCGACCCGAAAGAAACCAAAAAACAACCTCCACACTGCGCGACGCGTCGCGAGAAACCTTCCCCCCCCCAAAAGAAACAAGGGAAGAAAACCCCCCAAAAACTCCCAACCCACTCTCCGCTCGACCGACGGACCTCCGACCGACCCCCAGCCCGAAGATCGACCCGATCGACCCCTCGTCCGCCTCGGCGCGCGCCACCAAGTCTTGGAGCTCGGAGACCTCGCGCTGCGCCTGGCCGATCTGCCGGTCCAGCTGCTCCACCTGTGGACGCCGTTGTTCGCGCGCGGTCCTGGTTGAGTGTGCGGTAGGTCTCTCAAACCCAAGCGATGTGTCATCCTGTCAGGAGATGGTCCTAAAACCGACGCGAGAAGAAAAACAGTTCCCTTCCATACGAGACCATCCTTTCCTCTATACCTGCCAGATCAGTCCCCTCCCCTTCCATTACCCCCGTTCACGCCGTCTTAGCCCTGACGTGTCTCACTGCGCTAAACACATGTCCAAAACACCGCGCGGCCAAAACCGCGTGCACCCTCACTCCGTGTTTTTGAGGTCAAGCTACAAAGTGTTTTTGGGGCTCGGGTTTTTGACCTCCAGCCATATGGCAACGTCATCAAGTAGTTGGGAGCCATCTTGCTGCCCGAACATCGCGTCGGAAGGCAAGCCGCTTGCTTTTGAAAAACACCTCCAATCGGAACGGAACTGAACTGTGTGGAAGTTCACTGCTTTATCTCCACACAGTTGATTCCGTACTTGTTTCACGGAAACAGTTCACTGACGCAACCCATCAAGTCCTTCAATCTGTGTTCGGGTTCTCAGCGTCCAAAGGGATTGGGATCTTGATAAGAAGCGTCCAAGCAACCACTGAAAAGGAAAGCCACACCTCTTCGGGAAAGGGCCGCACGAAACCCACGATATTGCCATTGAAACCAGAATGAATTGAGAACTTGATGAGGTCACAAGAAGACTCTTCCATGCTTTTATTCTGCTAATATACTACCTTGAAACCTCAAATACTTGTATAATGTCATTATAATTCACGTCTTGATACGTCTTGTTTTCTTCTTTTGCCCTTTCTTCCTTTGCATCCTTTCCTTGTTTCTTTTACGCTCTCCAGCAACCCACGTTGAGTCTCCGCCTTCTCAAGAGTCTCCGCCTTCCTGGGCCGCGCGACGACGTCTCCCCGCCCGCGCGAGAGGCACCCGGAGGTGGTCAGATCGCGTTCGAACCCCAACAAGGTCCCACATGTCCTGGGAGTCCAGTCGACCAGTTTTTAAACGGTCTTTAGTAAGGTGATCCGAGGCCAGGAACTTCCTTTGCTTGGGCGGCGCCGAACATAGTCGAACTGGACTTCTAGGGTATGGTGTATTTCTTGGGTCTATCCAGTCCTATCCGGTCTATCCAGTGGATGGTGATGGTTACTGTAGGTTCAAGGCCGACATCTCTAAAATGTAATTGGACAGACCCAAGGCATGGATGTTTTTTATGGGTAGACTGGTCCAAGACTGGTCTATTTCCCTTCTTCCAGCTGGGAGGAGGTCTCCCTGTTTGAGCTACACACCCACATACACAAAAAAGATCCTCCATCACCGGCCGCGGATGTTGATCAAACAGTTACACATGGGTTGCCCCCTCTTGAACAACCACGGAAGTGGACGATGGCCCCTTGGAGGACGATGTTTCCTCAACCAGGAGGGGGTTGTCCACTTCCATGATTGTTGGGGGGAGGGTACCACATGCCCAGTACGAAAACCATTCGCATCAATTAGCTAAGTTGCAAGACCGGCTGCTTTTGCCTTTGCGCTCGTTCTTGGAAACGCCGCTGCTCCTGTGGATCTGCAGCACAATAATTGAAGACCACAGGACATGACCAGTGTGTTTTTATATATTGCAAAGCACCCGCAAACCTAAAGTCCACTACTACCTCTGACTGCTGGTGGCAACAGTATGACTGGATAAGTCCATGCAAAGCAGCCACATCAAACAGCACAGCAACAGAGTTCCTTGTACAAGTGGTCAATCTCTTTGTACTTCGCAGCCAGTGCACACTTGCCAAGCTCACTTGCAAAGGCCGTGTTCTTCCAAGCTGCCTGGACAGTCAAAGCGGATCATGGCATGGTCGAACCTTGCAGCAAACACCATGGATCTTCATGGGACGTCATGGATGAATTTGGAATAGTTTGGAGGAGTTCGCAAAAATGTTCAGCAAGAGCGTGGATGTTCCTGTCATAATATAATGGTGTCGAGGTTTTCTGCCATCTCAAAATACTGCTCTCTCGAGGTTTTCTGCCTCCACCGTTGGCTTGGATTTCACGAGCAAGCGAGCATGGAACGCCTGCACAAGATTTCAAAAAAGGCGTTTTCTCCACCAACGCAAGCAACATGGACAGCATGGCTTGCGACCAGTAGGGCCAAAGTCAGTTCACAACAAAAGCAAACCACACCTGAGTGTTGGCACTTACAGCCGCTGTGCAACGGGCAGCCTGCAACAAAAACCACATATATGGCGCCAAGCAAAGGAAAAACTGCATCAAGCGTGTCTTCAAACTTCGTGTACAACAGTCTGGCCACTTCCTCGTAAAGGCCTTCTCCTCTACCAAAACAACAACGCTGCTTTGATCATTGGAACTTTGCTACTTTCAGTATGTTTTGCTTTTGGTGTTGTACTCGCTTTTGTGACTACCAGTTGCGAAGCCAAATAATGAAAACAAATGAAAATAACCCCAACGTACACCCCAAACAGGAAAAAAGAGGCCAAAGCCAGCCGTTTCTTTGCACGTGTCACGTGCAAGGTCGGTCTTTTGTGGTCCCCAAATAGATAGAAACCGCTTAAACGGTGTCCATTACATTTTTGGTGGGATCTACGAACTTCTATCTATTTGGGGGTCTATATAGCTCGGCTCTTTCTGAAAGACAACGGAGACCGGTCGACATGCCCAGCCGCTGGCCGCACAAGCGGAAACAGCTGAGCTGACCAGCAGAGAAGGAACCCCACTCTTAGAGAAAGTTTTTGGGCAACCCTCGCAAATAGGCCTTTTTAGGAAAGATCTTGAGAAAGTAGTAAGTAGGTAGTTGAAATCATTGCAAACTTACAGCACGTTGATGCACTTCGAGCTTCTGAACCTATCCAAGAGTGAAGCTGTTTGAATAAAGGATCCGAGGTACTATCTGTAAGATATGACCCTCCTTTTTCTACAAAGCATCAAATTCACAAAACGCTCCTCGTGTACGAAGTTCCTTTTGCACAAAAAAACATGTCCTTCTGTAACAGTTGTTTTCTGGAAAAGTATGCCTTTACAATAGGGAAGAACTCAAAAAAGAGGCATGCTTAGATAAGAGAGGAAACTATTGAAAAGGAGTTAATTTGATAAGGGGACAACTGTCCTCACACACGGTAAGAGCTTTATAATGACAAGGAAAGTTTTACAAAGACTAAGGCTTCTACTGGAGGAGCAAACTGTCAAAGAAGGACTTCTGAAGGAGAAGACCTCTAAAAATTAGGAATTGTGCAGCAAAAACACTTTCGTGAATGATGATGGCAAGAAGGGATAGACTCTTTTGTAGGGAGGTAGACTTGTGAAAAAAGTAGGAGCAGACCTTGGTTTAGGAAATGAGATGGAAAGTCCACAGCAATGCGATCCATGCGCATGTAAAGGACAAGACCCTTAAATACCCAAAGATGTTCACCAAAGAGGAAGACGTCCATGAATGTCTTATGTACCTACCAAAAAACATGTCTCGGGCTCAGAATCCAGAAGCGCTTCAAGCGCTGCAAGCTATCTGCCGGAATGGGAGATCTGGGAAGAGGAGAGGACTTTCAAACGAAGATAAACAAAGATATTTATGCGGAGGATGAGATTCTTATGAACCTTGGGTGGGGAAGAGTTTCATCAGCAAAATTAATATGGATGTTTTTTTGAAGGAGAAGGACTTGTAAAGGGGACAGGCGGATTGCTGCGGGAGGCCTTGCAGACAAATAGCTGATAAAGTGTTGCTTCGTACAAATGATCGCTATGCAAAAGAGCTATGAACCGCTCACAAGTCAAAAAGACTGCGCTCTCACCGTCACGCCCTCTCAATCTAACAACCAGCCAATGAAATGTTGAGCTGACTACAGAAAAACGGAACAAAAAGGCTGATGCAGTGAGATTGCCAATCTCTCCGTGCTGCTCACAGGCGCACTCTGGCCACCTTTAAGGGGCACTGTCACCCCAACAGCTTCACACAGACCACCCATTCGCATCCCGCAACCACACGCCTGCTCTTCGCATCGCTGGAAGATTGGGCTCACCTCCTTGCGGATCTCAACGGATGATTCGGTCCCCCCAACCAACGGATGAACACTGGCCACGGCTCGGAGGGTGGCTGTGGAAATGCCCAAGTCTTTTGGCGCAAAGCGTTGAAAGGCCCAACACTAGCTCGAGCATAAGACCATCATAGATCCAAGTCCAACAAAAAACACCGAGGAGTGAGGAGAGCAGAAATGTTGATGGCCCTTGTCCAATGACTCCAGGAAAACTATATAGCTCAACATCCAACACAAATAACCAATTATGGGTCAAAAGCGGGGGGGCCTTGCATAGGTTTTCCCACAGAAAATGGACAGAACAGACTACCGGGGAAGTCAACCTACCAGGGTTTAGTAATTTCGGACAATTTCGGGCTCCGGGGTGTTTTTGACCCGAAAAGCCGAATCACCAAACCGACCTGGCCCCTTCCTTCGACCTGTTCCGATCTGGCTCCACAATGTCCCAGTCCTGGCAAGCCAACTCAGCAGCTGTCAGGGCTTCGGTGACAGCCTTGTCCGCAGCTGACAGATCTGCCTGTCGAGAAAACAACAAGCTCCGCACATCAATTTGCTTCCTCCAAGTGACAAAGCCTTGTGGACCAATCTGCTTGGAGAAACTCAGTGACACGTCCTAATTGGTCATCTCAGCAAGAAAAGCCCATCAATGAATTCATGAAAGCCCGAGGCATTGAAATCATCCTTCACAATTTCTGAGAAGACCCAGCCTCCAAGATGACCACGGCCTCATCCCGGATGTAAGCATCTTGGTATTCTCTCCATGCCCTCATATGCGCCTTCTCTGCCTCCTCCAGTGCTTCACGTTTGGTGGCTTCCTCCCGGCAAGTGACCCGGCGGAGGTTGGTGCACCTGAACGCAGCAAGACGACGGTGCGTGTTTGATCGCGCTCCCCGGTGGGCTGACTGGGAAAAGAAACAAAAAGAAAATAATCATCGAAACACCATGCAAAGCTCACTTTTTAATCCTTTTAACCAACTCATAATTGCAAATGAAAGAACCATTCCTTCTCCCGCACCTGAGCTTCTTGTCTCGGGCGTCAGCCTGTTGCTCCTCCAAGCCAGCACGCAATACCTCGACCATCGTACGCCTGGAGGTCATTAGGTTGGCCTCAAGCTGCAGAGCCTCTGCCTTGTGTTGCTTCTCCTGGACGATGACATGGTTGGAGGGAAGTGTGCTTCTTTGCAAGAGCGAAGCGGCCTGAGACTTGGTTCCCTTCACATGCTGTTCATACAACTGCCTCTGCATTTGTGGATACTTCTCGCGCTTCTGTTCATCGGTCATGTCATTCACCACTGATTCGGGGAACTGCTGGAGGAGCGCCTGTGTATAGGATTTGCCTTGCACACTGGCAAAGGAAACCTTCGTTTCCTCCACTGCACTTGCTCCAGTGTTAAGTTCATTGCGCAACGCATGAGTCAAGGCGTCACATTGATAATCCTCCCGGAGGGCCGACTCGAGCACGAAGTTCAACTCCCCCTGGGCAACGGAGTCAAATTTCTGACACTCCAAGACACAAGCTCCAGCTTCCTTCCCGTATCCGCGGATGATCTCTGCACAATCACTCTTGTAAGGCTCAGGCTTCAAGGCTAAGATCTCTAGTTGGCTTTCCTCACCAGGCGCCGAATGCATCGTCATCAAGCCTGAGAGGTTCCGGTTGCGCTGGCACTCTTTGATCTCTGCGTGAGTGGCCAACGCTGCATTCCAATGGTGAGTGGTTTTCGCCTCGTAGCTATGCAAGAAGCCCTCTGGTGAAGCCGCCATTGCGATAGCGTCGAAAACGTGCGAAAGATCGCGTCGGAATCAGGGAACTTGGAGGAGCTAAGATGCCTTGCAAGAGCTCGCTTCTCATCTCTCTTGGGCGCGCAAGTCATAGGCGAGAGTTCTGGGTTCAAAGCCATGTTTCAAGCCAACAATGGTTTTTTTCATCTTCTCTCCAATGAGCTCAAGGTGGGAGCCTTTCCCTCCGACCAGCTCTTGCAGTCGAAGGTCCGACCGAGAGCCAGCTAGTCAGCGAACTTCGCTCGCCGCGCGCTGTACACCAAGACTCTTGGCTTGTGAAGAGGAGACACCAGCCGCCCTGGAGTGTGTTGCTTTGTTTCTGCTGTGGATCAGCTTCGCACATGCCGGGGTTCCATGTTGTGCCACAAGCATCAAAAAGAAGGCTTCCTCTAGTGGAAAAAGGATAGCAGATAGAAATACAGATAGAAACTGATAGAGAAGACAACACACTTAAAAGAAAACCTGTGTTGGAGAACACGCAGCGGCTCCAAAAATGCTGGGACGTCTTTGATCCGCCCACATCGCTCAATAAACTCTCTCACCCTCAACCTGCTGGCTGCGTAGAGGTGGAGCTAGGCAGATCCAACTGAGAGCCTTCAGAATCGGCGTGGATAGGCAGATGAGATCACTGAATAATCATGAGAGTATTTAATCGTATTTATATATCTGCTCAAGTGGGCCAGCTCACTCCTATTTCCACCTGCGTTTGCT